GTGTGTGTGTGTGTGTGTGTGTGTGTGTGTGTGTGTGTGTGTGTGTGTGTGCGCGTGTGTCTGATAGCAAAATATGAACATTACGGGCCTTTACGGCCAGGGAAGCTATCGAAACAAGGCTGTATGACGCGCCCACTAACAGCACAGGAATACGTTAAATCAACATTGTGACTGCATGACGCAAAGTTAGGCCTGCGCCGCGAACTATATGGTACACGCGCGCGCACTCTGCCGCGTGCGTATAAGAAAATGGAATATGTAGCGAACCAGGAACAAAATCTAGCACAATCCGTGGTTGCATCATAGATATAGAGTATCTTTATTCTATGCCTATGGTTGCATCAGAGCATAGGTTTAATATATACATATAGGTTTAATTATTCAATTATTTTTTTCTTGCCTACTTGCAGGTGCATGACGAGATGGAATCAGTGGCCAGGGAAAACCATTTGTAACGAGGAACGACTACCGTGTACGAAATGCCATGGTGGTGTTTTCAAGATTCTAGCACAGCGGATAAGAAAGAGAAAGAACGGCCTCTTATGCTTGGCGGATATACATTTTATAACACCAGCTCTCTGGAACTATTTAATATTCATATTCATACCAGCAATCTCATGAAGCGTGCTAGTTGTAAAACAAGACTGATCCAATCTGTATTGCATAGCGCTATAAACCAGCGGTGAATAACCGCTTGCACCGAACGTCAAATTCGTTCTCACCACATTTACATTTACATTTAATTAGATTACGCTGGTTGTTATTCTAGTATAAGACCGGTTTTCTTTAGCGTTTTTGACGTTTCGTGGCTCAAACAGAATTCAACTTGGAATAATAATGTATATGAAGACTGTTTCTCCGATGATTTGCTGTTACGGCCGTCCGCATTGTTGCACTGTGCAAGTTTCCATTTTCAATGGCATTGTTTTTTTTTCCCGATCGCACATGCACGTTCTAAATTTGGGACCGGCCAGAGAAAAATCGCTAAATTATCATTAGACTCATAGCCTTCTCCCATCTCTCTCATGCGTGTCTTCCTGGTTCTCCTTGCCCGCGCTAGTATATGCCGCCAAGCAGTTCTTTCATCAAAAGTCCTTTCACAGCAAAAAACCTTTCTCCTTTTCACCGCGGTTTGCTATCTACGTTTTGTATAGTAACTTTGTACATTTTTGCATACATCGTATGTTTGCCATACAATGTATAACTTGTAAATATTTGACAGAAGGGGTTCAGTGGATTGAGCGGACACGGATCGGTAAAATGCTTGAAGGCCTGTCTCTACTTAGAAAACCATTTTTGTCTATGATGACGTTTCATGGTGCCTCATCTACCACTCACTTCAAAGCAGGTTAATTATTGTCCTTCTGTTATCTAGTTGGGAATATGGGGCTCTTTCTGCAAATCCGTTTTATATTTTACATTTTTATATCACAAAGATATTTTACACCGACTCTGCATTGATAAATATTGTTCACGAATATTGCGTTGTAATATATATTTTCAATCTAGAATGTGATAGTTCGGGTAACTATGATTATTGCAGATAGGCAAGATATCTTAAACGGCTGCGACACGTGTAATGTTGTTTAGATATGCTGTGTGCTTGCAAAACTGGAAGTAGAAATATTTTGTGTCGACAAAGATATTTAACATTCCAACGCTATTTTTATTACATTGTACGTTACTTCTGCTTTGATAACTTTTCAGTACTACATTACTATGCAGACTAAATACTGTTTGAATATTTTTTGAAAACGAATTCTTGATAGATTCAATTTTGCTCCGTTCAACAAAGAACAAGTAGCAGGCAATTATAAACTATTAGCAGTTGTAGCGAATTTATATGCGAGCTTCATCTTATTTTGTTGACGTACAATCGTGCGTCAAACAAAATGTCAAAACAAACATTGGATTGCCCGAATTTTTATACAAAAATTATAATTGAACAATGTTTTGTTTGTAATATAGCCAGTGCCACTCTGTATTGTTTTATTTGAAAGCGTATATAAGAATTATCTCACTACATAACACGATAACAGTACTCCCTGAATAGCGATTATCATCAGTTGCAGCTTAATTGAGTTGCTTCACTATATTTTCTGTCCGTAATTTTACTTTTCACAATTTTCCTCATAATTCTGGTGCTTAAAAGCTGATTTAAGAAACCCACCTAACTCTCAGCTATGCCAACTATCTCGGTAGAAACTCGCTGGAAAGACGTCTGGTGTCATGTTGGAACTACATTACCACGACTGAAACCCCTAACTGCAAGGATTCAATCTTGCACCCTTCATCTTACTTAACTACTTCAGCGAACTGCTGCCCTCTGCATGGATAACTGTAATTTACAAGTATGTACAAAGCCATCTACTTCAGATTACCTTTACAGAAGCTCTCTCTCTCCCCTTTCTCTCGCTCTCTATTTCCTGCACGTAACACTATTTGCTTCTCACTTTTTGGAGGTCTGCCAGAAAAGTCAAGCTGGAACAACAATCTACTCAACTGTTGGGTTTTGTACTCTCTGTAGCCATGAGCAATTATTCACTAGGACAGAAAAGGCCTCTATGACGGCAATGGTTACAGGCCATCGATAGCCTGCAATGATTTCAATGAGCCTACCTTCATGGGAACATTATCACCTGACCACATTAAGTCTTTCATTGAGACTTATAGTGTGTAGAAACTTATTCGGTTACTGACGTATGGTGGCATCTCCTATTAACTTAGCCACAAGCTACCTTCTCGATTTTCACTATGTGGCGAGAAGGCGTTTCCTACGATGTTAAACAGTTGTAGAGCCTGGTCGGGCTACTATTAACCTAATTCGGTTTCGTATATCAACCGCTCAGATCGAAATGGTGATCATGCAGCTTTCTAGCATGTCTAGCACAGTGTGAATGATGCAAAATTTGCTAAAACAACGACAGTATCCCGATACATTGACAGTGAATAACAATACTAAATATATGAAGTGGCACATATGTGACATTGGTCAATTGGGTCAAACGTTATTCTCACAAGTAATAAATACTCTACATACAAAGTTAGTATTGCACTTAACTCGCGTGCACCAATATACCAGTGCGCGTAGGCTTAACCCCTAGAGCAGCTAATGCGTCAGCAAGTCTTCCCTAACCTCACGTCCAACTTCGAGGCTGTCCAGCTTCAATTGCCAAAACCTACAACCCTAGCAACTACGAAATGCTTTCTCTTGCTCCTACCTTCACTGACTCCCCACTGCCAACCCACCATCTCAGGCAGTTCTCACAATGAGATAATAATTTCTGCTACCATCAAGGCTCGCTCACTTCAGGTCCAATATCATGGATGCCGGATTCTCCAAGTAGCCCTTCCATATATTGGAGAACCGTGCCATGGTGGCGCCATCTATGAGCCGGTGATCGGCCGACCAGCTGATGTTCATGATGTGAGCTTTAACTACGCTTCCGTTCTCATCAAACCTTGGAAGGCTCTGAAGAGCCATGAAAACCCATCACAATTACTTACTTCACATGATATAATATGCATATATAAAAATGTTTAAAATTTGCATGATTTTTTTTCCCAATTTCAATTATTGCAATATATTTAATATTGCAGGACAAGACACAGGAGTGAGAACTGGAATTACCTATAGGCAATTTCAAATTTATGTCTGAAATTCCAGTAACAAGATTTTGTAAAACAATTCTCACCTGAATTTTCCCTATTGCTCCTATAGCAACTGATGGAGGTATAAGTACAGGTTTTGCATATGTGCCACCAATCTGAAAACCAACAAACAATATTAAGCTCAACTATGTAAAATGCAAAAATCATTTCCATTTCTATCCACAAGCATGGAAATATTAAACAATAATGTGAAAATATATTAATTTGCTATATGGCTAAGAAAAATACGGGATTGTATTGATACCGAGCATATCACGTGCAACAAAATAAAAAACGAATATTTCCCACTAAAAATCACCGATGACCACTATGTGTGGCAAATTAAAGGTTTAAAGCAAAGGACAAGGGCAACATATCAGATCTGGTAACAACCTGTGAATGCACTACGAGATTCCATGCCAAACTCCATAATATAATAATGCAAATATAATTAAAATTTCCCATATATTTCCATAATTTCCATAAAATACATAATTTCCATAAAATTTCCATAATTAAAATACTCCAAATATAATAATGTACCCGACACATATCACTGTGATTGGATATTCTTTCCTAGTATTATTTACTCTCACTTTTACATATGACAAATCAATTATTGTCTGGTTGTGATAGAAACATGGAGTTTTGTGGACTGAGGAAATCAATGTTGCCCAAGACCGGAGCTGGAGGGCAACATTGATTTTCTGAGTCCACAAAACTCCACGCTTCCCCCACAACCAGGCAATAATTGTATATATATATATGTGCGTGTGTGTGTGCGTGCGTGTTGTGTGTGCATGCGTGCGTGCGAGTGTGCGTGTGTGTGTGTGTGTGCGTGTGCGTGCGTGTTGTGTGTGCATGCGTGCGTGCGTGTGTGTGTGTGTGTGTGTGTGTGTGCGTGTGCGTGTGTGTGCGTGCGTGCCTGTTCTCACACTATTTATAGTAGCTCCCATAGAGCGTTATCTCAAATTCTTTGTGTTCACGTACAACGACGTTCACTCTCGTGACAATGACAAACGAATGCGTGGAGCAGCAGCAGCAGCAGCAGCAGCAGCAGCAGTAACCCACCGTGCCGATGTTGGAGAGGGAGAACGTGGTTCCGGAGAGGTCGGCCGTGCCGATCTTCCCACTGCTGGCCAGTGGTTGCAGTCTCGCCAGCTCTATGGCAATCTCGAACACGCTCAACGCCTGCGTGTTCTTCACGTTCGGAACAATCAGTCCGTCCGGAGTGTCCATCGCAATGCCGATATTGTGAGAAGCCTAACAGTAACAGCCCGAGAATAAACAACCACTGCCGATATTGTGAGAAGCCTAACAGTAACAGCCCGAGAATAAACAACCACTGCTGTAGAACTTTACCGTCACACCCGTACGTAAACGGTCATTTAAACTTTAATAATTTTAATTTTAATAATTTTATAAATACCAGTGAGTACTGTAGTAGTCGATAAAATACGAGAACGGTCAGGAAGACCGTAGCGTATGAAATCCTTGCTTTAAATTAAGACTGCACGAGAATGCACAATCACTGCTGTAATTACAGTCACAACGGTCATTTAAACTTTAATACTTTTATTAATACCAGTCAGTACTGTAGTAGTCGATAAAATACGAGAACAATCAGGAAGACCGTAGCGTATGAAATCCTTGCTTTAAATTAAGACTGCACGAGAATGCACAATCACCGCTGTAATTACAGTCACAACGGTCATTTTAATTTTAATAATTTTATAAATACCAGTGAGTACTGTAGTAGTCGATAAAATACGAGAACGGTCAGGAAGACCGTATGAAATCCTTGCTTTAAATTAAGACTGCACGAAAATGCACAACGGCCGCTGTAATTACAGTCACACCCGGCGTACATAAATGGTCATTTAAAGCAAGGATTTCATAGTCTTCCTGCCCGTTCTCGTATTTTTCAGGCTACTACATGTACTACAGTACTCACTGGTATTGCTTGCGCAACAGTAAGTGTCTAAAATAAGGCTAACGTGTCTTACTTAGAACACTGGTATACCTTTATTTTAACAAAAATATACAACAATCGAAATTCGTATGTTTACATCGTGTTGACGCGGTTACTTGGTGATGACACTTGTTTCACTTTTTTTAAACTGCAGTAATCACTAACATGTTCGCTATTTGCTAAAATAATATTTTGCTATATACATATATTTTTCTCGATTGTGCAATTATTTATTAAACAAGTTATTATATATTTATAAAAGGGAATGGCAAAAGAGAATTTTCCATACAAGTATTTTCATTTTATAGAGGCGACTCCAGTATGTAACTGTCATTCAAGGAAAGATAAATTGTTCGTTAGCGAAAGAGGCGTTATTCCTATCAAATGTTACCGCTAATAGAGTTAGTTTGTGTGCGTAATGTTAACATAGGCAAGTATAATTTTTCCCCGAATATTAATAAATATTCAGCAACATAGCCATTGTTTCCCCCAGAAATGTTAGAGGGCACGTCCTTCATGGATGGATGGGGAGGGCATGGGAGGCGGTTGTACCAATTGAAGTCAATTACGTGTGTCATAAGTGTCATAAGTCATTTACCCAATACACAGGTACACCTGATCAGTTTGGAGGGATTATTTTGATTATTTTGGAGATGTATACATCAACCTGTAAAATCCCAGCACGTCTGTGTTGGAATTGTCAAAAGTAAACATGGGTAGAAATTTAGGTCTGCCGATTCGGCAATTAGTGCTGCAAATCAGAGGATTTATTATGGGATAGCTACAGCTTTGAAGGCATGTCAGACTCGACATGCGTTAAAAGCCTAGGAAGAACCCTGATAACCACGGCGCAAATAGGTTGTAGTAAGCACTGACCTTGTAGATTATATTCTCCTGCTTATCATCCATGATCGCATTAAGAATTGGGTAGTGGTGGAGAGCCATCGACGCTGCCTGCACGAGAACAGATAACCGATCACTGCACATGCACGTATTCTTAACGGTCTAGTTTCAAGAGACATCACCACCTGCACGTATACGGGCGTGCACGCCACACCACTGTGCCTACTCACTTACAACCACACGTACTGTCATACACCGGCCGAAACGCATACACATACAAACACGTATGTAGCTCACGTGAGCGTACGTAGAAATGCCCAGGGCAGCCCGGCACGGAAACATTTACTGGATATAACACAAATATATTGCAGATGGTGACTGAACTGCAGCCAGTTCTTTCCGGCAAACTGCGGCAGGACTACGTCACCTTGATGAGGAACGGCATATAGGTGAACTTGATTCCACGACGCGCAGCCAGCTCTTTTAGGTTCGCTTTCTGGTGTGCTAGCTCAGTCATGTCCACCTAACAACAGTGTGCAGTGTACCATGTTAGTAATCCCGTTGAAATTTCACAAATTATTAGGGTGTATTAGGTTCCACGTTCGATTATAGTTAAGGGCTTACCTATGGGATATTAATGGGAGAGCAAGAAGGGAAACAGGGTATATGAACTTTAAATCTAATAATACAGCAGCAGACTTGTTTAAAGAGATCATCATTGAAATGCCTCTACATTTGCTTTCTGTTGTGCCAACTCAGTCACATCCACTTGATAACATCAGGAGTGGATAATAGAGAATCTCTATTATCCACTCCCGATAACATTGCATGAAGTACTATAATCAGACTCCTACTAAGATTATATATGCCTTCTAATACAATAAACAACGTGTAACTGAACTTAGACTCAGATATCACAGTGACAGATAGTCACTGGGCCTCACCAACTGACCTCATCGCAGTAGCCAAAGTGAGGTATGCTCAATGACTCCTGCATTGTCTTTACCATGGTCCGAGTGTAGCCCTTGATCTTCTCGGTTCTATCTTGACCGATAACTATGGGGGCAGCACGAACTGGGACAGGAGCAGGAGGAGAGGGAGATGCCTTGGGTGGCAGAACGGGCAATGTTGGCGGCACAAATGCCTTTGTCTCCGGTGTTGGTGCTGTAAGAATTTGAGCAAAGCACAATGGAAATATACACCATGAAAACGTATCAAATTAGTAATCAATAGCTCACTCGAGATGCAGACAGATCTTTAATCAATAATAAGACAACAAATGTTTTTCCTGCTATGATAAATACTGGGGTACTATTTGGTATAACAGTCACAGAGAACTGATATTGCTGTGGAATTGCCTATTTACCTGTGGGGGGTATGCCAGTGTTTAGAGCAGCTATGTGCTTCATAATATCCTCCTTCATTACCCTACCATCCTTTCCTGTTCCAGTGACATCGCTCAATTTTATCTGCATAATCCCCACAAAATAAATATAATGACTATACGAGTTTACTGTAGGACCAGTTACGTGTCTACTGCTGATCCTACGCACAGGAATAATGTACGGGGAACTTTAGTGGCACTCCACATCAACGTGCAGCCATGATTTGCACGGTCAGTTTTGAAACTGCACGGCCAAAAATGTGTAGCACAGCCTAAAATATTGATCTAAAGCCGTGTACATGTGTAAAATTGCACTCCCAAATATTTTTTCTGCACTCCCACAATACTCATTCCTGGCTAATATCCTGCTCCACATCAGTGATAATTCACGCGATCTGCATTAACCTATACAATGCGCGACGTCGTGTGCATCTTGGCGTGAGGAATGCTCACATTGTTTTCTATGGCTAGCCTGCGCACAGCGGGCGTAGCAAGCACTTTGCCATCAGTAGCCTGCCGCACAACTTCCTCCATCGTCGTCGGTCGTGACACTGTCGAATCCTCGAGGGAATCCACCTCTTCATCTAAAGACAAAGATTTCGATCATATGATTATTTCACCCCAAGTTACGGAAGACGATGAAGGGGAAAGATTATGCGAGGAGAACTGTGGGGCATAATCAGAATGATTTCAAAATAAGCGCAGGAGTGTTGGAAAAACAGGACTGTAAGTGGAAATGTAATAGAATAAAATTATCAGACACATACCCATACTAGTATTTTGACTAACTGAGGAAAACTAAAATAGTAACAGCAATAGTTGCCGTAAGAATTCCCAATGGCGAGTGACAGGAATGCTGTTATGAATTGCCACATCGATAAGCTATTTAAAGCCAAGACACCTAACGCCACTTTTGAAAATGTCTGATTTTTGATATGCCATCAGAAAGAATATTTTTCTTTCTGTTTATTCGTTCTTCGATCTATCCATCTACCTAAATGTATCTATATCTATTCAATACATCTATCCATACATCCATCCACCCACCCATGCATGCATGCACTATCCATCCATCCATCTAGCTATCTAGCTGTTCGTCTGTTCACCCAACTCTTCACCAACCATTATCAATTCATATCGCTATCACAAGATATGATGCAAAAAACCTACACTACAGGTCCTCTGTGGTTATTACCTTTCTCATCCTCATCCAGCTCTATCTCTACCAGAGGATGTCCAACTAAAGCCACGCCATCGACCTCATGGTAGAGCTTCTTGATGACACCGTCATACCGGCTAGTGATCGTCACCGACGCCTTGTCACTCTGCACCTCACAGACGCTATCGAACTGTGCGACACGATCACCCGTGCTCACGTACCTGCATTACCAAGTACAAGGGCCAGCACTCAGATGTATTCTATACTGGCCACGAGGACGACCTATCAAGCACTCAGTCTGCACACAAGATCTACATTAGCACCGACTATTGGAAGATATTTGCATTGTCACAAGCACCACGTTCACAACAAACTAATGAATATCTTATGACATACCATTCTTTCAGGTGCACTTCTCTGATGCCTTCTCCTATGTCCGACAGCTTGAAAGTCACACGCTGCCCCAGCAAAGCTGTCGTAAAGCCAAATTCATTAGAGTAGGTAGAAGCTTTTATATAATATATTATTCATGAATTTTGCTTAAATATATCTGTTATGTAGATATTACTTCTTAAGAATATTGTGCACACTGTAAAAACTCAGTTAGGCAGGTTCTAACCATGAAACTAATTTATAGGTAACATGTGATGTAACTTCCCCCGAGAGGTCCCTATTTAGTCTACAGAATAATAAAATTATATTTTCATCAGTAGTTGCACTCGTTGCTGACTTGCTGTGGTGAAAATTTGGCCCACTTTGGAAAATGCTGAAGTAGTTCCAAACCACTATGGAACCACTATGGTAGTAGGAAAACCATTATGTTCCCAAAAGCATGTTCCCAATTTTAGCTGGTAAGGTTACCCATGTAACATCACTACGTTGGTATCACGAATTCTGGCTTAACAAAACCTGGGTAACTCCAGGTACCCTGAAAGGCATCGTGCTGCTCATCATTGATGATGGTTCTATATATATATATATATATAATGACAATAACAATGACAATTTGACTAATACAGTTGTAGTAACAGTAATACCTGTTGAGCTATGGAGATTCCTGAATGGTTGGCTGATTGGTAAAGCCCTGAATGGAACAAGCCAAGTGTTTCCATGCCGCACAGTAGTTGGCGAATCATGTAATGTTTGATTAATGAAAATTCTACTACAACTTGTGCCAACACACCTGTGCAGATTCTACAGAAACAAAGAAAGTTAATCAAATTAAAAACACCTAAACTGACAAACCATTTAAAGTTGATAAAAGTGACAGATGTACACTATGGATCTTACTTGCAATAGACAAATTTGCATTTTACTATTGACTAGGTAAGATGGCCAGGTTTCATATCCAGTATCAGTATGAGATAACAGAAACAATAAAACATATTTTGACAGGGCTTTACTGGTTTTCTGATTCTGACTGTCATGCATGGCAAGAGCAGTGATTAGGCTAATCATTAGCATCTAACAAATGATTGAATGCAATGAATTTGAATTTGTTTCATCAATGATCAAACAAGGGACATACTAGCCTGACCAGGGTCGACAACTGTTTTATGTCATAGTGGCCTGACACCTTTCTATATGAAACATTATATTTTTTGTTTTTTTTAAGAGCAAATGCGTCACGGGATGCCTGAGAAAAGCTCGCCGTGGAGATATAGATGTGACGCGACATATGCTCTTGAAACCAAAGTTAGCCGAGCGCTACATATGCACACTGTGAAAGCTTGTGTCACAGGTCAACAGAAATGGTGGTTGGATAAATCGCCACTCTTCACATCGATCTTTTGAAACAGTATTGTGAGTATATTGATGCGCCCGCCTTCAGAGCTGATTGTGGTGCCAGTGGTACGTGTAAAGCTCGGGATTGAGAAAAGATTCGTGTTCAGGATAAAACCACATTGGAAGTACATGGTCCCCAAGAACACATCATAAACCACCCTGTGTGAATCACTCAGGGCGGCTCCACGCAAAAGCGTTGTTGGCTTTGTAACCCTACTCTTGTTGGGTTACATTATTGTATATCTATTACGGGTTACCATTACCAACTTTCTGCAGACTCCAGCATGATAAATAACTTACATAAAATACTTCGGTTTTATTATAATTTAACACAGTTATGGCGCGCCCAGTCAGGCAAATATAGAATATATACTCATTTACAGTTGTGTGTAACTTAAAAATATCTTACAGCGTACTAAACGTACCAGTTTACCGTGATTCAATCCTAGTTTGATCAAAGACACCCTTGACAGCATGGACGCAGCCATACTTCTTCAGACCCGCCACCTGGATGAACGGCGAAAAGCACCTAACGCCAGGTGGCGGTACTGTATATCTGGTAACAGTTTGAGCGTTGTTGTCAAGCACTTATCTTAATTTCTTTCTTTTCATACTTTACTTTATTATGTGTTAAAATGTTATTTTGTTTTGCGATATAATCACAACCATTCATCTTAGACTAAAGGCTGGCGCGAGGTTTTCGTCGTAGTGTAGACTAAGTGTAGTGGCTAGTGCAGTCGCCCGAGTATTTTTCATACTGTAGCAGCAGCGTGCTACTCTGCTAGGATCTTTAACAACATGAAGTTTAACGACAAAGATTTGGCAGAAGTAGCATTTAAGCCTGCTGACAAGGAAGGCAGGTTATCGTACAAACCACCTAGTCATAACAGTAAGTATTCGTTTCACGGTTTACGAACACGGTCACGGTTTCACGTAAACCGACCAGACTCTCCAACTGTTACACGTCGTAGGAGTGCCGTAAACGTAGTCGTCGCCAACGTAGTGTTAAGCGAGAAGGGAACTTGTGGCTAGGTTTCACGGTGATCGAGTCTGTAAAATGTCGAAATTCTGGTAACTGTACGAGTGGCAGTGCGAAAATTTGGGAAAATAAATTCTGGGTCACTTATCTGGGAATGGTCCGTACTGCTGGCTATATTATATATAGCTACACAGTCACACATGCATTTGCCTTTTTTTAGTTTATAGTTTATTGACAGTTATGTATGTATGTATATAGTTGATATAACTACTAGTACTACTACTAGTACTACTACTAGTTACTACTAGAAACAAGGTTATGCACTGACGTTACTCTCCCTGGCAACAGAGGTAGAGAAGTAATGGTCATCATGCTTTGGTATTTCACAGGTTATAGAGAAAGATGGTTCAAGTTAAAAGGAAACCTGTTATTTTACTTTCGAACAAATGAATTCGGGGCTATTGCTGATACTGAGGTGAGATCATCATCTGACAGCCAAAGCACGCGACTTAGTGTAGTATGTGTGTGCGCGCGCACGTGTGTCACTGTTTGTGCACGTGTGTCACTGTGTGTGTGTGTGTGTGTGTGCGCACGTGCGTGTATATGTGCATATGATGTATGTATATATATGTGCGTGCATGCATGTAGGTAACCACTAAATGATTTTTTAATGCACCTCGTTTAATTGTATAACAGCTCTGTTCACAACAGGGATACATGCATTACTCACAGTGATGTACAAGTATCAGGTAGCTGACCTGGTACAGGTCTGCATGAATATCTGTAACTGTTGTTTTCTATGAGGGGTTGTATTCTCCATGATCTGGAACACTGGCTCAGAATGGAAGACTGGGGATTTAGCAAGGTAGCATCAAATGAACTTTACTATTGGGAGCGTAATGATGTATGTGAAATTCAAGATTCACAACTTGAGTGCAAGTTTTTTTTATATAAAGTGAGTTGAATATGTCATATAGATGCCATCTGTTTTGAAAAATTAGATTTCCATATAAAAGCATTAACAGGTTGTTGGTAACAGCTAGACGATAGCTAGAAACTTTATATGATGAATCAGATGTAATTTTGATACATGTCATTGCAGCCAGCTGGTCTATACATCCTAGAGCGCTGTGTTGCAAAGTTGCACTCGACTAAAGAATCGCCATATCAATTTTCGATAGGTGAGAGTAAGATTTTTTGATGTTATTCATTACTATAAATGCTTATGTACAACAGCAATTGCTATGTTGATAAATTTTTAGCATGGCGTTATGTTATAATATTTGCATATATGTTTAATTGTTACAGCTTTTGAAGGAGACTTATCTAACAAGACCTTGTTCAAGTGTAACTCAGCAGTACAGTGTCAGAATTGGATAGGGTCGATAAAGAAATCCAGGTACACGTAACTAACATTTTCATAACTTTAGGTGCTTCTTTTTGTACGATGAAAGGTTTAGGACATGGCTCTTAGTAAATATTCATATGAAAACAGTAGTTCATTTATGTAAATTTGTTTTAACAGTATTTAACGCTCATTATTTATCCTCAGTTATGAACAGATGCAAGGAGAATTGTCTATGCTGAGGAAAAAAATCGAGTGTTTGTCCGGACTTGATCCATTGCGGTCTATATACGAGCCAGCTTCTACTAGTAGCCATAACAAAGTAACATCACAGGATGCCATATCAAAAGAAAAAAGACCAGGTAAACATATATGCAATGGTTAATACTATAAAAGATTTGGAACCATGGCAGTTTTCAAGTTAGTTGACATACATAAACGTGGGCTATTGCAATTATGTCCATACGCTATAGATGTGTTCATGACACTATGTATGTGTGTGCCTGTGTATGTATAATGTATGTATATATATGTGTGTATACATGGACACAACAGCCATTTGTTCAATCCCTGGACAGCAATGAAGACAAAGACAAATGTGTGAAGTAGAAATGTAGAAACCTGATGTCTTTGTTGTAGATGCGAGCCTTCAAGATGTTCGCATTTCCAAGCAATTTTGATTTTCTTTTTGTAAAGGCTTGCCCAGATTCTACATGTGAATGAGCATTAAGCCTATGTACAGTAAGGGATTGGTAGTTCTGACTCTGCTAGATACCCTCGTTTGACAACAGCAGTGTGATAAAAGCTGCGTTGCTACGACGATCACCTTGATACGAACCACTTACTGTTAGAATCATGCACAGTACCAGCTCCGCGTCGTGAACTACAAACATGCCAGGAGAAGTCTTTCGTTCATGCAAGCAGGGGAAAAAATATAATTTATTTTTCGGGGGCTACTTTTCAAGCTCACGTGCATGAAAATAGCACTCTAAAATTTGGTTTGCATTGAACTCTATGCAAATTTACGGGGGCTCTTTTTGGCATTTCCGGCATTTCGGGGGCTAAATCGCCCCGAGCCCCCGTGTATTTTTTTCACTGCATGCAAGCATCATATACGAGTTACTCAGTTATACTTGTCTGCCTGGAATGTTTATGTTAGATGTTAGTCTTGTCACACGACACACAAGATTTTTTCAATATGCTGTAACCTGTCGACGTGATCTGGACCATGATCTGGTATTTGTGGTATGCATACGAGAGTAGGCGATAGCTGTGATGTATATGCCGTCCTGGTGCTTTGGTAATGTGAATAGTCGTATTTCCTCTCGCTCTTGTTGTACACTGGTAGTCTTCAATGCAAGAGGTGACCGAAAATATGAGCTTTCCCACACAATATGAAACTTATTGTTCCAGACGACAGCTTCCAACTTTTGTGCGTTGTGTCAAGTAGGTCCAACAGGCGGCAGTAAACATATATATATATGTATATTATTTAGTGATATTGAATGATTAACTGCACCACTAATACGAATTCAAGCCAATCTATCTGAAAAGCTAAATTAGGTGCTATTGTGATTCTGTGAATCAAATGTTGTGATCACAAATGCCAAATGTTGATGTTTGTATTGGTTTGTATATATATCGTCACCATTCCATAGCCTGTCAAAAATGTGAGGGGAAAACTTGATTTTGACAGGTATTTGGAGGTAGCTTATTGCACGTTTTCATTGTATTCTATTATGTAACATTGTAAATGATATAGTATAGAACGTAAAATCTCAACTTATCAATATGCAAAGTATTTTATCAAAATAGTTGCCTTAAGCATGTTACATTGGCTTGTTAATTACCTCGTTGGTTTTTAGCTCATCTGACGTAGTCAGATGCAGCTTGTAGAATCGCATGATTGTCCGTCCAGGAAGAGAGGAAGAAAGAGAGGGTAGCTAGAGATATACAGTGATAGACAGAGAGAGTGAACGTGGGGAGGGAAAGGGGGAGGAGAGTAAGCGATTAGGAGAATAAGAAAAGCGGAGTTTAGTTTGCATAGACCTTTGTTGGTCGGTGTACCAGGGCGTTTTACCATATCACAACTGTGTGATTAATTTTTCAGCTAGCTAAAATGTTCGCTCTTCCGGCAGGATATAATGGCATTGTCAAAACGCACTGTTTGTGTAGAAATCGTCTGCGTGTACGAGCCCGATGTGAATGAGATTGTTCACAATATTTCCAGCGTGAAGGTGTCCTGGTTACGTCTATTACACTGCGTAGGTAATTACTGTGTTCGTGCAGCGCGCGTTTTAACAAGCCGTGACGTCATCATGGGGATCTGTGTGTTAGGACATCATCGTCGTCATCATCGTCGTCGCCATCATCATCATCACTATCATCATCGTCGTAATCATCATCATCATCATCATCATCGTCATCATCATCACTATCATCATCGTCGTCATCATCACTATCATCATCGTCATCATCATCACTATCATCGTCGTCGTCATCACCACCAGCATCATCGTAACATACCACCTATGCATCTAAATTATTACTTTATTTTGTTTCTTCGCATTTATATCTCGCGATTAATGTGCGCGGGTCGCCACTACGCCCTGCGTTCTCCCGCCGTGCGTGCGTGCGTGCGTGCGTGCGTGCGTGCGTGCGTGCGTGCGTTGGTCGGCGGGATTAGCAGCGGCAATCCCGCAATTTCCGTCGATGCCTCATCGCGGCTTCCTCGCGAGTTTTATTCAGTCATGTTCGCGCAGTTCTGCTGCACATATCAAGCAGAGAGAGATAGAGAGAGAAAAAGATGGAGAGAGATAGAGAGGAGGAGGAGGAGGAGGAGGAGGGGGAGGAGCAGCAGCGAGCGGCGAGGGTGTGTCGCGTGTGAATTGAACGCTGCGTGGTAATTACGCACGGCAAGTCGTTCCCAACCAACCACGCCCTCCTCATCTCCCTCTCCTCCTTTTCCTCCCCTTCCTCTTCCTCCCCCTCCTCTTCCTAGTTGTCTTTCTCCTAGTCCTCCCCGTTTGACTTCTCGTTCTCCTTCTGCCTCGTGTATTTTCTGCACGGCTTCTTGCTATGTTGTACGCCACCGCGCACGCAAGATAGAGCGAGAGAGAGAGAGAGAGAGAGAGAGAGAGAGGAGGAGGAGGAGGAGG